TATATGATAGATATATATGATTAGTTTTGTAGAATCCAAAATACAAATGACATTTTATATTACAGAATCCTCAAAATTGGTAATTTGTAAATTTCATGGCAATGTGAGGCAGATAGACATATTTTTGGTTGTCTATCTTTTAATTATTTGATTTGATAATAATAATTTTATAATAATCTATCTGTTTTTAGTTTATTTAATTTTTATTATTTTATTAATTAATTAGGGTGGTGTCACAAGAACGGGATGCTGCTTTTGGTCTACGACTACATGCCCAATGGAAGCTTGGACAGCCACATTTTCTGCTCGCCGGAGATGACGACGCTGGGATGGAGCCTAAGGTATAAGATCTTATCCGGCGTCGCGTCCGCCTTACACTACCTCCATAACGAATACGATCAACGGGTGGTCCACCGCGACCTCAAGGCCAGTAACATCATGCTTGACTCCAATTTCCACGCCCGCCTTGGCGACTTCGGCCTTGCACGCGCCTTGGAAAATGAAAAGACCTCCTATGCCCAGATGGAGGGAGTCCAGGGAACCGTGGGGTATATTGCACCAGAGTGCTTCCACACCGGTAGGGCCACCTGTGAGTCTGATGTGTTTGGCTTCGGGGCGGTGTTACTGGAGGTGGTGTGCGGTCAGCGTCCCTGGACGAAAATAGGGGATTTCCATCTCTTGGTTGACTGGGTCTGGTCCCTGCATCGTGAAGGACGAATTCTAGAAGCAGTGGATAAGGGATTGGGGAATGATTACGTGGTGGAGGAAGCCGAGCGATTGTTGCAGCTGGGTCTGGCGTGTTCCCACCCCATCGCTAGCGAGCGGCCCAAGACGGCGACCGTTTTTCATATTATAAATGGCTCAATGGCGGTACCGCTTGTTCCGCCGTTCAAGCCTCCTTTTGTGTGGTCTTCCATGCCGAACACGGGAAGCGTAAGCATCACCAGCAGCACGATTAATAGCACTGATACCACTCCAATATCGGGATGGACTCCGAAATACTTTAGCCGGGACAGCGTCACCGGAGAAGGTGGATACAGTGACGCTGAGCCGCTATGACCAAGTGATGATAGTCCCTTGGGCTTGGTCTTGAGCTGGGGTTTGTGATAGGAAATTGAAAGCCCAGCAGGCCAAGGCCTAAGGCAAAAATTAAAAAAAAAATAAAAAAAAAAAGCAGGCCGAGGCCTTACGTCTCTTTTTCTTTTTTCTTTTTTTATGCCTCTTACAGTCTTACCTTTTGGATTTTCCTTGTAAAAAAGTTATATCGTTTTTTTTTTTTGGAAAATAGGTAATGGAAAAAAGTTATATCGTTGTGAGAAAAATTTTGTTGCATCGTTTAATTTAGACAGTGCTAAGATTTTAGATGATGCCTTTTTTTT